AAATATCATGGGGTGAAAAGCAGAAATTGCATCATTAGCCAAATTTTGCAAACAGCAGAAAAGTTTCATTCCAAGTACCTGAATTATGCTAGCAAAATTGCAGACTTAACCCGATAGATTTTTACAATACAGGTACCTATATTAGAAAAAGTACACAATTGTAAAATAGTCATTACGCTGAAAACTCCGCAAAATCTCTGAAACATTGATGTGAATATTCGTATGTTAGGTTATGTACTAGTTAAAGTTTTTCATTCAAATGGGTGATTGCAGCTATGACGAAATTTTGATCTAGACAGGAAGAACGAAATCCAACACTACACCTAGAACGAGCATCTTAAAATGAGTAAAATTGCAAAGTTTGGTTGCGAAATGTGGTGCATTTTCCCGCGCGTAATACAAATTAATACAAAATTTGCAAATTTCACCGGTCTACATAAATATTCCGCATTTTACAACATTTCGCGGTCAAACTTTGCAATTTTACTAATTTGACATGTTCTTTCTAGCTGTGGTGATGGATTTCGTCCTTCTTGCCTAGATCAAAATTTAGTCTGTAGCTGGAATCACCCATTGCCGGCAGGCGGTGGCTGCGCAAAAAACATGTGAAATTTAGTAAATACTTCGACTCCCAGTTTGTCATCCTTGCTCATCCTTGTTTTATCTAAGGCGCTTAAAAGACAATAAGTTTCCCTTTTTAAACTCACTAAAGTAACTACAAGGAGTCGAGCGTCAGGTGACTTCGCCAACTATCTCTGGTTATATTTGTTTTAGTTGGTCCAACACCGTCCACTACAAATACTACAGTTGGTACAACACTGTCCACTACAGATACTACAGTTAGTACAACACCGTTCCCACCAGATACTACAGTTAGTACAACACCGTTCCCACCAGATACTACAGTTAGTACAACACCATTCCCACCAGGTACTACAGTTAGTACAACACCATTCCCACCAGGTACTACAGTTAGTACAACACCGTTCCCACCAGATACTACAGTTAGTACAACACCGTTCCCACCAGGTACTACAGTTAGTACAACACCGTTCCCACCAGATACTACAGTTAGTACAACACCATTCCCACCAGGTACTACAGTTAGTACAACACCGTTCCCACCAGATACTACAGTTAGTACAACACCGTTCCCACCAGATACTACAGTTAGTACAACACCGTTCCCACCAGATACTACAGTTAGTACAACACCGTCCCTATCAAGCACTACGGTTAGTCCAACACCGTCCACACCAGGTACTACAGTTACTTCAACACCGTCCACCAGGTACATGTAGTATTCGTATATTTTTATTTTTTATGTCTCATCTTTGACTCGCCACCAGATAGTACTACAGTTACACCAGGTACTACAGTT